GATCCTCAGATATTTTTCCTCTATGTGGAAGCTCTATATTCACAATTAATGGCACTGGTTCTCTTCCATTAATTTGTCTTTATTAGGTAACATTAGAAAATGTAGCGGAAAGCTTTGCTAAGGAAAACTCCACTCCATGCATTGCCTCTTTTGCCACAAGTTGTTAATATGCAATGACATCTCAAAACAAGGGATGCGTGCAGATGTGTGGCGATGCCTGTGAATGGTTATCATTACAAAATGTATACAGATGGCAGTGTATGCACACAGGTTCCAAAGTTGGGGTCCTACTGACCCTTTTGCTTTGGCCCTGTGTATCACTGGCATATAGATCACAAAAGGTTGGTTATGAGGGCTTGTTGCCTTGGGACTGAGAAATGTTTCTCATTAAATAAAGAAAACTGAAGAACGTTGGTTAGCACCTCAGCCAAAAACAAAAGAGAGAGAGAGAGAGATGGAGGGGAGAGGAGTGCATGAATCCAAGTTTTGTGTTAGCTTGTTGGAAGTAAAGAGAAAAAGAGCCTCCAGATTCATAAAAATAAACTCATTGAGCCAAAGTGTTTTGAACCTAAAATTTTCATCAGGGCACTTTTAAGGCCAAGCCAGATAGAATCGCTCCAACTTGTCTGTTGCAAAAGAATTCTGAGAAGTCTGCTGAAGAAGGATTTATAGTCAATTAGACATACCAGTAACTATTTGTTTAACAGCATATTGCCTTCGATTTTTTTCCAAATTATTGAAACCCAGATGGTTTTCATTGGGATTGCAGAACATGAGGGGTGCATTCTCCACAATGACGCCTCAGAGTTTCCTGGTGAAATTAATTGCTTCACAGCAGGGGAATTACAGCCAGAGAGGGAAGGGTTAAACTTTGTGCTGTGATTCTAACCTGTACAATATGATTGGATTAATTTTGTCATGTTGATTAAAACATTTGGTAACATTTCTGTAGCCAACAGCTGGTTTAAGTGAAGAAGATTTTGTTGAGCTGCCAATTGAAGCACAAGAAGGATGATATTTCCAAGCCTTTCTGCCACAAAGTGAGGATGCAATAAAGTATTGCAACAGATGTGTATTTCTGATTGTCGCAGCCCCATTCAGTGGCTAGAGTTGGCTGGAAACATAGAACTATAGAATCATAGAGTTGGAAGAGACCTCGTAGGCCATCCAGTCCAACCCACTGCCAAGAAGCAGGAAAATTGCATTCAAAGTACCCCCGACAGATGACCATCCAGCCTCTGTTTAAAAGCCTCCAAAGAAGGAGCCTCCACTACACTCCAGGGCAGAGAGTTCCACTGCTGAACAGCTCTCAGTCAGGAAGTTCTTCCTCATGTTCAGATGGAATCTCCTTTCTTGAAGTTTGAAGCCATTGCTCTGAGTCCTAGTCTCTAGGGCAGCAGAAAACAAGCTTGCTCCCTCCTCCCTATGACTTCCTCTCACATATTTATATTTATAATTATATTTATACTTATCTTCCTTCTGCTCTGATTGGCAGTTAAATAAACCTCCTTCATCCCTTCTTGCTCCTGGCTGTTGAAGTACCAGAGAAGAGGGGGCAATGATCTCATTTTACAATAAATCTATATAGTTTTACTGAGTACAGAGCAGCAACATAGATGTGTAACTCTAGGTTATGAATCCCTGACTGCAATACTGAATGTCAACCATTGTCTTTAAACAGCCAGACTAACCATGTCTACATTGCCTCTTAGGAGGTTTCAGGATTTTAAATCCACTGAACTCAAGAAATAACTCTGTGCACCTGCCAACTCACAACCTTCTTTTCCCACATCCTAGGGTGAAAATGGACTCACTGGAATGTCTATGTGTGTTTGTACTTTTATGGAAGCATATCGTCCCCAAGTTGGTATCATATGTGAGCCTTAACGCATAAATGTTCTCCCTGCTCACAAGGAGCCATACATTAGTGTTAGGTTCAAATAGATGCACAGTGAACTCAGTTCTCATAATATCAAGAAGAGTTGCCATTTACACTAGCTTCTTTCCAGTATATATTCTTTGCAAATCCTGCCAGAATAATTTCTGCATCAGTACATCTCTCTGCAGTTCTCTGTTTTGTTTTTTTCATTCATTTTCTCTTTGTCCAATGTCTGGCCCTATTATAGATTCTGTGGCTTACTTACAAAGTGATGTCTGGAATAGTGGGAGGTGAAGGATTAAACAGCCCTGTAAGGCTATTCAACCTACACAATATTATCTGACAATTAAATTGTCCAGAATACAGCACTATAATGCCTGTGATCCCCTCTGGCTACTATTTCCTATATAACTTAAACTTTCTGGGACAAGCTTTTAAAGGGGAATAAAGAGACATTCACAGATATAAAAATCGGTAAAAGTTTGAGGCCAGACTGATGTTATCCAGTATTTCTGGACTGAGAGCAAAACTTTGCTTCTGGGAATTTAAGCTATAATGTTTATTATCTGGCTATCGCAACAGTTTGCCATACCCAGAGGTTAGTGTTTGTGCCCCACATAATGCCCAACAGGTTGACGGCACTCTTGCATGCTGTCACAGTCTATTCCTTCACTGGTGTGAAACTGTCATTATAAATGTCAATAAGGATTTAAGAATTTAGTAGTAAACAATAGTTGAGTGAAAATATGTGAATGAGAGGCTTCAAATGAGGAAAGCCAAACTGAAATAATTGATCCAATTCAAGAGGTTGGTTTTGATCCAGTTCAGGAGGTTGGTGTCTGGATAGTTTGGCCACCATATCTGTCAAGGAGGATCTTTTCCAATATGATTCTTCTGATTTTAAGACAATACTGGGGGACCTGTGGTCCTCCAGATGCCAAACTCCATTCACTTCTAACTAGGTTGGGTAGTGGTAAAGTCTCATGGGCATAGTAGCTCATGAGCATTTGGAGGCCTAAATCTGTCAATGTAGCCTTGTTCTAAGGAGGCAAAATGTTAACTACGAAGAGCAGTACCCTGCTTTTGAAGTCCATGCTTGTAGTTGTCTAGTTTCATCTAGAAGTAGGTGAATTTCTTTCTTCTGCCAGGCGATTTTTACTTCAGCTTTTGTGTTGCATACAAAGTAATTATTGATTAAATTAGTTTAAAGAGATATACCTGTATTTTTAGATTTTAAAAAATCACCTGGTAAACATTTGTGTTGAGAATAGTCTAGCAATAGTCTAAATAAATAAAAACAAATAAAATGAAATATGTTAAATGCTTGCAATGCAACTATGTAGCCACATTTGTAATCATAAACCCTACTTGATTACAGGTGGATATATAAATATATGACTGAGCAAGATTTTACCTTCAGAGGTACGTTTACTGGGGGAGGGGGTTGTAAATCTGCAAATACGTTTTGGTCCTAAATACTATCCAGAATCCTATTGGGCACTATGCAAGCTTGACGCCTGGTTCTGCCACTGTATTTTAGCTCTATTGTATCTTCCCAGGTAGGATACGAAGCAAGTATGATCCTTGTAATTGAGCAGGAAGGCCAACACACAACAAACAATAACTTTGGCTAAACTAAGGGAAGTAGCAAGCCAGATATGAGGTTTCTGTCCAATCTACTCACAGTACTTACAAACCATCAGTATTTGATAGAACTTCAGAGTTAACGTGAAGACAAAGTGTGAGTGAACTGGTGTATTGATGATGTTACTTAGAAACCGCTCTGAGCCCCCCCCCCCCCCCCCCCGGGGAGATAGAGCGGTATATAAATAAAATGTTGTTATTATTATTGTTATTATTATTGTTGTTGTTGTTGTGTAGAATGTAGTCAGGGAATGTTTGTTGTTTACAGGGATGATCTCAACATCTGGCACGGAATGTAGCAATCACTTCTGATTGTTGGCCCTGGGTACATAATGGTGTAGTTATATAATTTCTAGCAAAATATAAACAACAGAGCTCAACAAATAATACCGGCCATAGGGAGAGGTCAGCTATTGTCAACATGGAGTTGTGCAGGCTCACTGAAACAGACCAGCATACAACTAATCTTTTATGACAATTCTCATCATAGGTTATTGGGCTCTATTTTGAGCTTAAACTTTGTTTATTTATGTTATTGGTTTTATCTTGTATTGTATTGTGTTTTTATTATGCATTGTTTTAGGCACATTGTGCCATCTGTAAGCCACCCTGAGTTACTTCAAGGAGATGGAGGCAGGGTACGAAAATAAACTTGTTGTTGTTATTATTTGAAAAACGACAAGATGAGTCCACAGCAAACAAGATCACTCTGCTGGCTGTTGTATTGGATCACACATCGGACACTTCCCAAGTGTCTAAGACTGTGTGATATATTGACAAATAATGTGTGCAGATCCCAGTAAGGTGGCCTTTTGCAGCTGACAGATGGTAATGTCAGCGCCGATTGTGTTTAATTGCAGGCCAAGGTCTTTAGGCACTGCACCCAGTGTGCCAATCACCATTATTATTATTGTTATTGTTATATTATTATTATTATTATTATTATTATTATTATTATTATTATTTCATTATTTTACATCAACACCAGTAATGGCATTTTTTACAGTACTTGCTTGTGAAAGCATTTCCCTGGCCAGGCTATTGGCTGATTCGCACAAGTATAGCTCTTCTCTCTCCTCCCAGGACTTGAATGTCTGGAGGTTGTGCATAAGCTATATGGGAATCCGCCAAACAAACCACCACTCTTCCAACTTCCAGCAAACTGGCAGTCTTTGGTATTCATGAAAGTACACCAGTACTTCGCCAGCTTTAAACAGAGACTTGACTTTTGATTATTTTTCCTTCCCATTTAAATTATCCTTGTGTTGTTCAAGAGGTTTTTAAAAGAAGTTGTTGTTGTATTATTTGGAGCTGGGGTTGCAGCCTTAATGATGGTGTGAGGGGAGTATGAGGCCCCCATACCTGGCATAATTGCTCACCCCTGATGTATAAGACTCAAAACTGGTTGGTTAAAGTATACTACAACATGTTTTCTTAAAATATATTTATTAAATGTGGATTAATCTTTGTTTTACAGTTGTGTCCACAATATTGGCCTGAGAATGGAGTTCATCGGCACGGCCCTATTCAGGTGGAGTTTGTTTCTGCAGATTTAGAAGAAGATATTATCAGCCGGATATTCCGAATTTATAATGCATCAAGAGTAAGGATCTGACTCATTCATTTCCATATTTAACTTAACGACAGTAGAAGAAAATGAGTTCACATGTTAAAGAGTTCAAGCATACTTAACTAACATATCATTAAACCATCATAATGTGCCTTTGTCTTGTATGCTTCCCTTTCTTCCTTTGGCATGGCTGCAGGAAGTTGGAAACTTTCACTTTTGTTTTAGATTAACCACAGCTTGTGTTTTTAATTGGTCATAGCTAACATCACAGCTGAAACACCAAACTAAAGTTAACCTTAAAATGAGGCAGAATTTTCCAGTCTCTATATAGCCACACCAGAGACAAGAGGCGGGAGTGAGGACCAGACATTAGCAAGAATGCATATTCAATGCAGTTGGCATATTTCTCTTTTGCAAAAGGATTTCCTCATTAACATGCAATACGGCAAATAGATTTTCAAATTAAATATGTTTTTATTTCAGTGAACATTATCAACACAAAGTCCACTTTATGCAAAATAAGCAGTTGAGGACAAAAGCACCTTTAGTAAATGCTCTCTCAATGTATCATCTAGTTTGATTTTCAGTGAACCTAAAGGCTGCTTGGGGTTCATTATTGTAATGTTAAATTTTGACTCAGCATCATGCCTGAATGGATCCATTATATTCTATAGACTCATTATGTTTAGAGTAGGAGAGTTATTTTAAATGTGATGTCTAGTGATCCATTTTAAAGATAAGTCAAACTGGTGAACTCTCAAACACCAAATGAACTAGATGTATTCAAGAATCCTCAAGCTATTATCCCTAACTACTTGAGTGTTGGTCCCCAATTTTTCAATTTTGGGGGTGAATAAAAGAAGTGTTCTAGTGCACTTAACTTTTGTACTTTCCCATCAATTTCTGGTTTTTGAATACAGGGATGTATGGGTAACTAAAATTGGGGAAATGTGGGGAGCTTTTGATTTCATTAGAACCCAGATTTGTTCTCCTTGCTATGGACATAAACAAATTACCAAAGTTAAGATGGTAACATTGCTCAAAATAAGTTGTAATACAGAAATTAAGTAAATTGACTGTAGTTGTGTCCAACTCTGGGGGTGGTGCTCAACTCCATTTCAAAGCCTAAGAGTCGGTGTTGTCCGTAGACACCTCCAAGGTCATGTGGCTGGCATGACTGCATGGAGCATCATTACCTTCCCGCAGAAGCAGTATCTATTGATCTACTCATATTTGCATGTTTTTGAACTGCTAGGTTGGCAGAAGCTGGGGCTAACAGCAGGAGCTCACCCCTTTCCTCAGATTTAAACTTCCAACCTTTCAGTCAGCAAGTTCAGCAGCTCAACAGTTTAACCCTATGCGCCACCTGAGGGTTAAACCGCTGGTGCAGAAATTGCTTGCAAGCAAAACAACAAAGACCTTGAATTTTAAAAGAAAATCTCACAGCATATCTTAATGAACTTTATTATTTCCTTTCTTTGAAGATAACAAAGCTCACAAAAAGCTAATTGGTCATTTTTCATTTAATTCAAATGTGAAGATTCATACCCAAGATAATATTCAAGGTCTGAGACATTTTGGTTTTCTTTTGTATTGAAACTACTGAAATGTGTAGTCTTAAAGGAGTTCAGCATGCAAGAATGTGTGCTTGCCAACCCTTCCAGACTAAAGGCACACATAAACAACCAGGGGCCCTGGCTGACTCCTTTACCAACCTCACAATGTTTGTAATTTTATATCAACATTCTTAAATAGTTAAGATCATTGGAAGCTTTTCTTCCTCATGTTTTGTATAAATTAGTAAGAAGATTTCTTTCAAATTACATTCTATAAAATAAAATCCATCTTTGGAGAGAGATGCTAGTGAAGATCAGCTTCTTTTGGATGCAGAAGGCTTGATTTAGCCTTTTGACAATCAGTCATTACACATTGAAACTTCATACTGAGAATTCGAAGCATATGAAAAAAGAGAACAACCATAATTGGAACAGTGCTGCAAATTTTACTTTGCTTGCCTGTGATTGCTCTGATATTAATCATTGCATATTTGGTTCTTGCAGCTGTGCCATTGTTTCATCCCAGTATATTTGTATCTTTGGCTATTTAGAATATTATCTTCATAGCGCTTGAGAGTTCACAGTACTCCCATGTGGATATCTCTAGTAATTGTTAGTAGTAGTAATCTGTTTTACTAAACGTAAAACAGGTTACCTCCATAAAGAAATAAAGCTGCCTCCCTTCCTCCTCTCCTTCAGAAAACAACTGAAGACCTACTTATGCTCACTAGTATATGGAGAGAAGATTAGATAATGAAAGATTACTACCGGACCCCAGGTAGTAACTATTGAGAACTATTTTGTATTTGGACTCTCCTAGTCCACGCCAGCCCAGTGACCATCGTTTGACTATACAACGAATCCACACAGTTTTGTGAACTCTAATTGGCTGTTGGAAGTTAATGTGGATGTTTGTTTAGATTTTATGTTATTATATAATTTTGTTTGACTACGTGTATTTTAATTTATTGATATTAGGTTTTAATTCTATTTTCATTTTCAGGGTTTCTCTGGGATTTTATGTCAATATTTGTTTGTTTTACAAAGGCATTGAATTTGCCGTTGTTATGTTAGAATCCTTCCTGAGTCCCCTCTGGGAGATTATTATTATTATTATTATCATCATCATCATCATCATCATCATCATCATCATTCAGTATTAATAGGAGTGTGCAGTGTTTATATTGCATAGTTGTAGAATAAATAATGCTGTCTTTTTATGCTCCTGTTGGTTGGGTCCCCACAGCCCCAGGATGGCTATCGAATGGTGCAACAATTTCAGTTCCTGGGATGGCCCATGTATAGAGACACCCCTGTGTCGAAGCGCTCCTTTCTGAAATTGATACGTCAAGTGGACAAGTGGCAAGAAGAGTACAATGGAGGTGAAGGCCGCACAGTCGTCCATTGCTTGTAAGTTGATGTAATTCTACAGTGAGAAGACCGCCTTATGTGTTCAGAGCACTTCACATCTGTTGTTAAATTGTAATTCTTACAATAATGTATAAAACATAACTGGTGACCTAGAATTTTCATCTTTATATTGGAGATTAGATGAGGATGGGACAGTATATATTGCCTAAGCAATACTGCCTTTACATTGATGACAGATGCAAGCTTCTTATAGGCTTTAATTTTTAAATCCCTGAACGATTCCAACCCAGCTTACCTGCCTGAACGTATCTCCCCCCAGGAATCACCTCAGAGATTAAGATTGTCTGGGGAGGCCCTGCTTTCGGTCCAACCTTCACAGGCACGATTAATGGTGACGAGAGACAGGGCCTTCTCAGTAATGACCCCCTCAACTCCCTCCCCAGCGACGTTAGATCAGCCTCCTCCCTCCTGGCCTTCAGAAGGAAAGTGAAAACTTGGCTTTGGCATCAAGTTTTTTGAGAATACTGCAGTGTAATAACAGATATGGAATGTGTGCAATGAGTGTGGAACGGCCTTGGACTACGATTATGGATGGCGTGGTTTTAAAATTGAATGTAATGTTCTTAAATGTTTAATATGTATTAATTTTAATTTAATTTTAATGTTATTGGAATTGTGTGTTCTAAGGCATTGAATAATTGCCTATATGTAAGCCACCTTGCGTACTCTTCAGGGTAGAGAAAGACGGGGCATAAATAGGGTAAATAAATAAATTCAAATTCTGGACTTCCTACTCAGATTAAGACAGATTGAAGAAATTCACATCAAGGGTCCCTTGTCCAACAAAGCATAAGGTTGAAATGCCCATTGTCTTCCTGGTCTGCTACCATTGTGACATAACTACAGCAAATACTAATCAAAGTATTAAATATTACTACAATGCATTGGTGACACAGTTGTCTTCAGGGCCACTTTCCTCAATGCCTCACCTCACCCTTTCATTGGAAAGCAGATATTTTGGCAAACTATTCTGAAACTTTACCTGATGAAACACAAGGGCAGTGGGTGACTCTGTCTTGATGTAGAGAAGGAAAGTGAGAAGTAATAGGAAGGTAAAAGGTAGCTGGAGATGCCCATTGACAAGGTAGGGAGGGTCACAAATGGCCTGACAGCAGTGCATACTTGATGGGGAATCAGCAAGTGGTCCAGCAACAGCAATGCAATTGGAAGTCACATGGCAGGTGAGTACAGTGGTCCCACACAGGTCTTGAAGTTCTTAGGCGTGATCGCTGATCATTCAAATGTCTCTTTACATTTTGTAAGCATAACGTCTTTTGGAATTTTTCACTGTATTTATATGAACTTGAGTACGTTATGTGTTCCTCCAGATTGTATTATGAGTAGAGAAAATTGTTTTACATGTGTTTTTATACACTCTGTTATGAGTAGATAGCATTCTGTTTAGGCCTCCATCTGTATGATAGTTGGCCCTGTTTACTTGTTATCTTCACAGACTATTTGTTTGACCAGCTTCTGAAATTTTGCAAGGATTCATAGATTATATTGAGGCAGATCTGAATGACCATGTACTCTTTTGATTCTTCTGCCTGTTTCTACACAGCATGTTATGCACAACTGTAATATTGATACTTTTGTAGTATTGATACTATCAGAGCATGGGGGGGGGGAGTTCAGTTGTTTTAATGTATTTTAATTAGTCATGGCTACTATATTCCAGCTTCAGTCAAAATCCTTTTGAAGCACTACCACTAAGGGTTTTGCTTCAAGTCATGTAGTGGTGGCAAGAGAAGGGAAAATCTACCAACCTCACTTAATCCATCCCTCCAAAGTTTTCTTTTCTTCATGGTCACTGCATCCTGGGCTTTCCTCCTTATTCCACAGCACAGTGCACCAACAGGCTGGTCCCAATCACCTTGTATACGAATGTTCCTCTTCTTATCATAGCAGTCATAAGGGAGTCCATCTGAAAAGTCTTCCCACCTGAAATGATTTGGCATGGCACTTGACATCGAGGTCTGTAGCATCTTCTCTCCTGTGCTCAAAATTAGCCTTTCGAGCAGTGGTTCTCAACCTGTGGGTCCCCAGATATTTTGGCCTTCAACTCCCAGAAATCCTAACAACTGATAAACTGGTTGTGATTTCTGGGAGTTGTAGGCCAAAACACATGAGGACTCACAGGTTGAGAACCACTGCTTTAGAGGATTACTGTATTCTCAAACCGTCTTGGTGGCTATGATTTTAGAAGGATATATATCTATATACCTATATCTCATAATGAATTAACTGGATAATACCATGTTTTATTTGAGTCACAGTCTCAATTAGAGCCAGTAAAACAGTTTGGTCTTGGGCCAGGGGACTACAACAGAGGGAAAGGAAACTGTTTGATTTCTCAGGCTGCCCCCAGTCGAACAATCAGACCTGAAAAAGACACAGAAGTTGGAAATGCCACTTTTTGGACATGGCTGATAGTCATGCTGGCTGGAGATTGTGGGAACTGGAATCTGTCCCTTCCACTTACTTTTGCTCTTCCTCTTTTCCTTTTTCTAGCTTGTTCCCATCGGTCTGCCTATTCTTATCTATGCCCAGCACTCTCGCCTTTCCAGCTGAGAGTTGACTTCCAGATTAAACCATAAAGTGCTTTAAAAACTTTTTTCAAAGAAGCATCTTGCATGTACATATCTCCTTAGTGTTTCCATTATAAAGTTTCTGAAAAATTTCCACAGCTGATTAAGGCAGATAGTTTTATCTTATTGTATTTCAGTTTTCCTACCTGTTGAATGAATATTGTAATTCTTTATCATGTGAGGGTCATTGAGATCCACATCTGGGAGGTCCTTTTTAATGCAAATTGATATTATCTCTCTCAATTACGCATGCCATTAAATAGTTGAACCACATCTCATGCGCGCACCCACATGCACATCACTTTGAGGTGGTACAGAAAAAAGAAGAAAAACCATCTTCCAGTATAATCCTTTTAAATGACTTTATTTTAATTAAAATGCTCACAGAATGGCACAATATCATCCAGTATTTTGGCAGCAGGGAACACTTTCTTTTCATGCTGCCTGGATGTGACAGATGTGCCATATTGTGGCTTCCTTTGAAAATCAACCATTTGTTCATTGCTGCCTTTAAAGAACTGCAAGCTAACTAGTCTGCACTCTGGTAATTATTAAGGTTTATTATTTTCAATGAAGTGAGCCTAAAGATGCTGATTAGAATAGCTGTGGAAATAATAGAGTTTCCAGAGGGAGAGAGATTCTCTTGAAGATTAAAAATAACCAGAGATGAAGCATTATTAAATGCCATATTTAATCATGTTTCTGAACACTTATGCCTCACATTTTTGCAGCAAACGACTTTGTGCTGTTGTATTCTTAGGGCAAATACAATATGCCCCTTCACACCTTGTTTGCTAAGGGACTGAAGTTGAGATATGGACATCCAACCCCTCGCATCTCCTAATATAAATTCTTGATTCGTGTTAATATCATTAAGGGCTGGTCCATAACTGTGGTTTAGGCCAACAGAGAAAACATTTGCCTCCAAGAAATAAGACAAAGCACAGGCCAGTCTCATTTAGATCTCTTAATCTTTAATGGGCATTTTATCTGAGCTATCCTCTAGAACAGTATTTCTCAAACAGATATTTTGGCCTTCAGCTCCCAGAAATCTTAACAGCTGGTAAACTGGCTGGGATTTCTTGGAGTTGTAGGCCAAGACACTTGGGGACCCACAGGCTGAGAACCACTGCTATAGAACTATAACCAGCATCCTGCATGGGACAAAACCTCAGTTATGGTCCAGCTCTGTCTTTTACAATTCAAACCCACCTCAAAAGCCAGGCAGTAATCGAAATAAGAAATTTTCTTGTGCTGGAGGGCAGGGTCCAGAAACAGAGACCTCTGCAAGATCTTGTCCAACTCTTCATCCCACCAAAGGCGCTGCCAAAAGGTTGTCCTTCCTTGTTAACACTACAGAACCTTTGTGATTCTGGTAGTGGTGCCACAATGATAAACGTCAACACAAGGTGATTAGTCTATGACATCACAACTGGATGCCAGATTATGATAGAATAATTTAATTGTGTTCACCAAGTTGGAGAGTTACCCAAAGGAAAGGAATGGTTCAGATCCAGACTACCTGACAAACTGCCTCTCCTCATATGAACTTGCCCGGATGCTGCAGTCATCAGTGCATGCCCTCCTCTCAATCACACCCGTATCTCAAACCCGGTTGGTGGGAGCGAAAGAGAGAGGGCCTTCTCTGCAGTTGCCCCTGACTCCGGAACTCTCTCCCAAAGGAAACTAGAATGGCCCCTTCGCTGCCCTCTTTCAGAAAGCTATTAAAAACTCATCTATGCTCCCAGGCATATGAAGAGCCTAACATCTGAAAAATGTTAATTAAGGACTGCTTTACGGGACATGGCTTTTAATTCTGGACCTGGCTTTTAACTTTCAACATGGCTTTTTACCTTGTTTTATTGTTTTAATGGGATTTGTGTGATTGTGGTTTATTGACTTTATGATGATTTATTATTGTTTATATTGCCCATTTGCTTTGTTCACTATTTCATGTTGTTAGCCGCCTTGAGTCCCCCATGGGGAGAGGGGGTGGGATACAAATAAAGTTTTGATAGATTGATTGAACAGTATAAGGTCAGCATGAAACATCACTTATTGTAATGCCTGGAATGATGGGTAGACTTGGATTTAGTGTTTTCTCTCTCTTTTGTATTTAAAAAATATTAAGAATTATAAATATTTTTAAGCTGCTGTTTTTTACATGTGTATAGTAATGCATTGTCTCTTAAGAAACAAAGGCCATGGAGATGAGAAAACAAGTCCAAAGCTACCAAAGAGTCATAGCTAAAGTCTGGACCAGGGGTTTAAGGCTGTAGCTCAGTGACTCCCAAATCTGGTTCCTCATACATCAGCTTGCAAATCACAGAACCAGTGTGGATTATAGTTCAGCAACATGCATGAGTTGCCAAAGTGAGTCTTAGTGCTACAGGTGTTGCTTCTGCTGTGGCTGGCGCTTCATTGCAACATTGTCTTCCTTAGAATCCAGGCAGAGGTTATTGATCCCTCATAAATTACTGTTGTCCCCTCAACATGCAAATAAGCTTATTTGAAAGAGGAGGATTTGAGAGGAAAGAGCACCAAGCTAAAAGAAAACCTAAGTAATTTTACTGCTTTTCTTACAGGAACGGAGGAGGCCGCAGTGGGACATTTTGCGCAATCAGTATTGTTTGTGAAATGCTGCGACACCAGAGAGCTGTTGATGTATTTCATGCTGTGAAGACCCTGAGGAATAATAAGCCTAATATGGTGGACCTTCTGGTATGAGCTCTTTAAAATTGTGCCACCAAGTAGGATTTTTTGTTGTTGTTACCAGGAAGCACAGTGACATTTTCTAGATTTATACTAAGAGCCTGTTCATAAAAGGAAGCCTGTTGTTTTTTTAAAAGGGATAATAGAGTCACTTGACTTGTAGAAGTATTTTTATGCTGCTTTCTTACCAAAAAGATGTGTTCTGTGTATGCTGGAATTTTTATGAAAACTTAAATCTTTCAACAGAACAATCCTATTAATTTTCCTTTCTGGCAGTGCAATCCACATGTAGAGCAGCTTTTGTATGGCAGAAATAATAGTCATGTAAAATGAAATGCCAGATTTTCAAATTATATATTTTATAAATAGCTTAATCTCCTAATATTTATCAAGACTGTGAATTTCAGTTTGACATTCAGAGTATTGCATTTAATTATGGTTCTTCTATCTTGCAGAAAGATTAAAAGAGTTCAGAAACAAAGGGCCAAGAGCAATTATTTCCTTGTAGAGTGCTTTGTGGAACTTTTCAAATGTAGAATTGCTGAAATGCCAACTACTGTTACACACACATACAGACATACACACACAACAACTCAGAGCATCAGGATATTATAATCTACTTTGTTCAGTAGTAATGTTTAAAAACTAACATTGCAACTGTCTTTTTAAGCCAAAGAGAAATTCCACTATCAAACATTATTTGGCATGTTGTTAAAGCTCCATTTGGATAACTAAATGAAGTATTTGGGTAGTGCTACATTTTTATTTCTCTTCCAACAAGCTCAAGCTGGCAGGACAGTTGGCCACAAAATATGCATCTAGAAAAATTGGTGAAAGTGGAAAGCTGATAGATGTGCAGTTGGAGAAAATTAGAGCTATGTTATTGGACATTAAAAAAGAAATATTATAGAAACATGAGTATGTGTGGAAACCATTGCAAAAATCCTGAAATGAATTCAAAGATTGTTTTGAATATAGACTACTCCAATGTTTGAGAAGATCTGGCAAACCAGAGTGTAAGGAGGCGACATGTGAGAGAAAGAAATAAGACACATGCTATTGTCGAAGGCTTTCATGGCCAGAATCACTGGGTTGTTGTGTGTTTTCCAGGCTGTATGGCCATGTTCCAGAAGCTTTCTCTCTTGACGTTTCGCCTGCATCTATGGCAGGCATCCTCACAGGTTGTGAGGCCACACCATCTCTGGGAATGCCAGCCATAGATGCAGGCAAAACATCGGGAGAGAAGGCTTCTGGAACATGGCCATACAGCCTGGAAAATACACAACAACCAAGACAAATGCTGTCACTTTATAGTAGACAAGCGCAAAAAATCTCCTGTGTAGCAAGCACATCAGATTCTAGAAGACGCCTTGTGTTTGCCTCTTTTCTTTAAGTAAGATTGTCTGAGAGGCATTTGAATGATTGATTAATCTGGATTAAAAACTCTGCAGACAGGGTTATGTGGCTATCTTAATCCCACCGCTTCATGTAATCTAAATGACCAGGTGTTCTGCTTATCGATTCTCCCTGTGTGAATATTCTCACTGTCGTTACAAATAGGATTTGAACATTGATTCACATTGACTATGTCCAACACAAGTAAATGACACATACAAAAGAGAAAATTGCTTCATTAAGTACTTTTAATTAATAGAATGGGAAATTGATGTCCTTGCTACTATTGAAGTCATATCATTTTTGTTTTGTTTTCCTCCTAGGATCAATATAAATTCTGCTATGAAGTGGCTTTGGAGTACTTGAATTCTGGCTGATGGCACAAAATATGTGGAGGGATGAAGACCTTTCAGTGCCACAATCAAAGCGAGTTGCTTCATGATATCTGTGTGTAAGAGAGACAAAGACTTCTCAGTGTTACGCTTCTATTGCTTTGTATTGGCTCTTTTTAAGAGCCCAAGAGAGTCTTTCCAAAAATGCTTGCACTGCCTATTTTCCACAGGATGGCTGCTGCTTGAGACACCTACAATCCTACAGTCACACACAAACTCACTTCAGTGGTTGAAAACCACTACCATAGAAACCTGATATACCAGCCTAGTCATCTGGTAAACTAAAGAGCACAATTCTACTCCCATGAAGAATTTTTTTTGTTTCTGTTGTACTTTTTGTTGCCCGTGATCCTTTGTTGTTGTCGTCACAGCCTAGCGTACATTTTTGTTCTGTGGAGAATGCCGTCTAGCGTTTTGATAAATGTATTTTAGTTACATTTGTATCTTACTTGCTCTTAATACAACAAAGCCACTGTAGCTTAAACCAAACTAATAGCTACACAGACAGACCACATTAACTTTGCAGAACTCTATTTTTCTGTCCAACTTATATTGTTTGAGAAAGGAGAGACTTGACAGAAGTCCATTAAGAAAATGAAAAAAACATACAGGATGATCAGATTAATATATCCAAAGCTTTCCCCCCATTTGTTTATATTGTAAATATTTTTTTGATTTCATCAAATTATTTATTCATTAAAGAGAAATCTTTTGTGAAGCACAGTGAGTGACAATCATTTTTATTAAGCCCTGAAAATGCTTATTGTATTATATTGTAAACATTTGTTTACCCTGTCTGGATTCTCAGCTTAATAAATAATTACATATCTGATAAAATCTCATTCAATATATAGCATTTCATGGCAAATGGATTGCCTCCAGCTAAAACTGAACTTGGTGACAGGCTTTCAGACCATTGCTTTACAATTACTGAATTGGCAGTTCCTCCTCCTGCTGGGCCAGAGCTCAACATCAGAGCACACATATGAACCCTCCAATCAACCCATGTCTGCTCTAGTTGAAGGATCTAGCAGCAGGGGAGGGGGCTGACATTTTGAAAACAGAATTTGAGAGGTGTGGTTGGCAGGACTGACTTAGGTGGGCAAATGGCTGCTGCTGTAAACCATAGTTCTTTATTAAGTGGACATTGCTGTCAGGAGCCTCAGCAGATCCCTGGACATAGTCATCCCAACCACATTAAAAATTAGTTCACTTCTTAACTCAGTTTCAAAGTCAAAGGAGCTAGTCCTATTAGTGTGTTATAGGAACATTTTTTTAAAAAGGTATCATTGAACAGTTTGTTGATGTTTTTACTAGGAAAGGTCAACACACACACACACAACAATGGCATCTCATAGGTTAACCAATTTTGGGGAGCATATACTTTTGAGGACTATTGCCTACATGATCAAAGTAAAACAGTGGTTCTCAGTCTGTGGGTCCCCAGATGTTTTGGCCTTCAACTCTCAGAAATTCTAATGGCTGGGATTTCTGGGATTTGTGTGTGTGTGTGTGTCGAGAGCGACTTGAGAAACTGCAAGTGACTTCTGGTATGAGAGAATTGGCTGTCTGCAAGGACATTGCCTAGGGGACACCCGGATGTTTTATGTTTACCGTCCTTGTGGGAGGCTTCTCTCGTGTCCCCACATGGGGAGCTGGAGCTGACAGAAGGAGCTAACCTGTTCTCCCCAGATTCGAAAGGTTTAACCCATTTTACCACCAGGGCTTCCTTAGGCCAAAACACCTGGGGACCCACAGGTTGAGAACAACTGAAGTAAAGCAATGTACAGTCTGTGAATGCTCATAACAAATAAAATTTACTAGTTTTTAATTTCCTACAGGATTGCATTGTTTTCCATATCATGAAGGTTTTTAATTACATGCCCTAATATAGTGGTTAATTCACATTAGGTGCTCTGGAAATATTTCTGCCAGTATGTTCCAGCTTTCACCACTGTAGTCTGGTTTACTAGTCAGTACACATGTGAAAGTCACAGAACTTGTTGGTCAGGAATACTAAAAGAAAAGGGACTTCATGATCAATAGGAGTTTCTGAAGCTACTAAAGATACAATCTTAACATAGTTCCAATGAGGAGGGAAGATGGCAGTTATCTAAAGAAACTGGGTTGTATGTCTAAAGAACTAAGCTAAGACTTAAAAGAAACGGGTAAAAGAAATGGCAGGGACAATGCATAGAGAAAATGGCAACGAGACAGAAAAGAAGAACTACTCAACAACATTTTTGCCTCACTCATCTCCAAAATGGAAAAGACTGGTCAACATTGAGCAGATGAAACCGTAAGAGAAAGGCACTACACAATAGATAAAGATATGGAAATATCAGGCAACTTTAGATTAAATGAAGTCTTTCAGACAGATGGACAACATCCAAAACAGTTAACCTGACATGAATACCAGGAAAGACTTTGGAACAGACCATTAAACAGACTTTCTGTAAGTACTTAGAAAGGACTCTTGTAATCCCTAAAAGCCAACCTTGTTTTCTCCAAAACAAGTCATGAACTTGTTGCTGGTTGCACCTCTATCCTGCAAGCATGCATATACTAACATTCTGGCTGTCCTTGTGCACCCAGGAAAGATAGTGGCATGGTGTAAGGTACAGGATACCTCTTTCTGTTTTGTCCCTCCAAGTATACATGAGCCTAACCAACAATAATAGGATCCTCTATCCTTCCTCTCCACTCCCACCCCCATCTGATATGCTACCTCCTGATCATCCATGCTCTTGCTTTCCCTCTTGCCAATTGCTCAGTGCCACTGATTATTTGCTTGAACCAAGGATTCATGATTCCTTTCACCCAATAATCTGAACTTCTAAGCACTTTTATATTTATCTGTTGCATAAACCTTGAAATCAGTTTTGCACCATCTCTCTGAGCACTTCCTTGGATTCTGAACCTAAACCCCACAGTAATTCAATTTTACCAATAATGCCATATAATCTGCACACCTCATAATGTTCATGCTGTTCTGCTGGATCTATTCATGCGGCAAAATTAATAGTGTAAAGCTGATTAAGAAAAACAACATGCAAACTATCTGCAGCCCCACTAAAAAATTTCCAACAAATGCTACGTTCAGCAAAGGACAAGAGGGATCCTCTCACCTTTGCAGGAGTCTATCGTATACCATGCAGCTGTGGACAAGTCTACATAGGGACCTCCAAATGCAGCATTACCCAAATACAAAACAAGGAACATGAAAGGCACTGCAGACTACTTCAACCAGAAAAGTCAGCCATAACAAAGCACCTGAATAACCAACCGGGACACAGCATATTATTTGAGATCACAGAAATGCTGGACCACTTTAATAACTACCATATCAGACTACACAGAGAAGCCATTGAAATCCACAAGCATGTGGACAATTTCAACAGAAAGGAGGAAACTATGAAAATGAACAAAATCTGGTTACCAGTATTTAAAAAAAACCCTAAAATCAGGACAGTAAATGAAAAACAACATGGAGAAAACAGGAATTCCAGACAAGAAACAATCCGAGTTAGCCAAGACTTCACAACAGAGGATTCCCTCAGGCAGAAAGCAGCCAGGCAAGTGAAGTTTATATATCCGTGGAATGTCCAGGATGGGAGAAAGAACTCGTCTGTTTTAGGCAGGAAGCAGCCAGGCTTTGAAGCTGCAAGGCCATTGAATGCTAATCAAGGTGGCCAGTTGCAACATTTATACCTGCCTCAAACAGACAAAGAGTTCTTTCTCCCACCCTGGACATTCCATAGATATATAAACCTCACAAGCTCCGAGGATGCCTGCCATTGATGTGGGCAAAATGTCAGGAGAGAATGCTTCTGGAACATGGCCATATAGCCTCACAGCAAAGGTTTACAAAGCACAGGAAAGTAGTCTAGGAACTACAAGTGTTCCTATTAACTGTAGCAATTTAAAATCCAACTTGAACAAGTGCACAGAACTTTATAACAAATGCCTTCAAGGTACTGGCACACTGATGGAAGTGTTTGATCTGTGGTGTAGAAAAGGGGAAAGATTACACCTGCAGGGAAAAAAATTGAAATACATTGAAAGCATATCTTGTCTATGATAAGACAGGTTTTTTTTCCAAATGTGAAGAAACTTCGTCAGATTTCTTCAACACCGCCAGTGTCAACAGCTACAAATGAAATGTCATTTTCAACTCTTAAACATTTGAAAATGTACATAAGAAGCACAATGGGGCAAGAAAGACTGACTGGACTTGCACTCCTGAGTGTCCACCAAAACTTATCACTGGAACCTGATTTCTGTCAGTGTACTGACACAGTTTTCAAGTGTTTCCAACAGGCATTGTGGTATTCTTTAGTAACCACTCAGTTACCAAATAAGAATCATTTTCAGTGTTTTTTATGACTTGAAGCTTTGTAGCTAAAATAGAAATTTGATTTAATTAAGTCTATATAAAAATATAAAATGAGTCATAGAATTTAAATTGTTCATAATTCACTAAAAAAAATTAAAATACTTTTAACCGCCACCCCAAATGTTTTTAGTTTTTTTTTTTCCTGGCTGCAGACCTGTTTAAAGGTATTCAGGAAAAATAATCTGCTATTGTTTGGATATCAAAACCTGAGTCTCAAAAGTGGTTGCATTTCTAGCATGCGTAGAAGAATGTAGTGTATGACACCAGCAAGACAGCAGTTACTCTCTTTTATTTTAACCACATGTGGGCATTGCTATTAAAATACATTATTCTGAACCATCTAATTTGAGTATTAACTCAAAATCTTTCACTAGTAAATTAAACTACATTTTCACACAAAAAAATCTTGAATCACTCAGACTCCACACCAGCATGACTAATTGGGAACATAATTGCTATGCGGCTGTTGGCAATTACTGAACAGGATAAACCACCAAAATAAGTCCAAGCTTTCAAAAACAGTTTGACTGACTACGGTTAAGAAGGGGAAGAACAACAGTATGGTTTGAAAACTATATTAGCTTAGTGCTTTCTGTTACTTTTATTGGATAACTTCTTCCAGGTGGCAACCATTCTTCCTTCAAGAATATTGCTCTGATGGTGAAGTGACACCCCTTCAAATGCACACACTTTCCTGGTCATTTGACAGTTACATTTTAACACAACATTTTTAGCATTTTGAACCACTTCTTGTGGTTCTTCTAATATAGTGGTTCCCAACCTTTTTTTCACCAGGGACCACTTGATCAGAGACCACTCTCCAATATTAATACCAAAAGGGTTGCAAATTAGTTTTTGGTAAATCAGAAAATTGCATTGGACAAACCACATCAGCTTTAGATTATTATTATTATTATTATTATTATTATTATTATTATTATATCAAATATTTGTACCTCACCCTTCTCTACCCCCGAAGGAGGACTCAGGGCGGCTTATAAACGGCAACAATTTGATGCCCCCCAAATACAAACAGATAAAATAGCAGTTACAAAATAGGTAAAACATTAAATTAAAACCATTTAAAATAGTGCAAATTGAATTGGTTGGTCAAATCTAAATCTGAGTTCTACGATCAACAACTTAGTCCAAAGCCTGTCCATAGTCCATTTACCATAACACTGTCATCATTTATCAACCTCCCATCCAAATGCCTGGTCCCATAAGTTTTCAACTGTTTCCTGAAGGAAAGGAGGGAAGCAGTTGACTTGATTTTGCTGGGGAGTGAATTCCACAGGTGGGGGGGCCACCACCGAAAAGAC